CACACACACATTAGTCACTAACTAAGCTTGGCTTTGTGACATGCTCATTCATCGACCAACAGTACGAAATTCGGCATCCATAATATTCTACTAAGCCCATCGAGTAAAAGATGCTGGTGATCGAGAGTAAAGAAGGCGCAATAGCATGCATGATACTCTCTTTGCTTTTCCTCGGCACGTGGCCTGCCCTTTTAACGCTCTTAGAAAGGCGGGGCCGCTTGCCTCAGCACACTTATCTCGACTACACGATCACGAACCTATTGGCTGCCCTCATAATCGCCTTCACGTTCGGCCAGATTGGTAAAAACTCGAATGAGAACCCGAATTTCATCAATCAGCTATCTCAGGTTAAAACGTTAAATTGTTTTTACTGATTTGTTGAACGTGTTCATTTGGTTAAGATTGAGTGACCATCATATATAAATGCAGGATAATTGGCCCAGTGTGATTTTTGCAATGATTGGTGGGATTTTTCTAAGTGTCGGGAATTTATCGACACAGTACGCTTGGGCTTTGGTTGGCTTGTCGGTGACGGAGGTCATCACATCAAGCATAACCGTAGTCATAGGTAAAATTCGAGACTCATATAATTTGAATGAGTTCTCTCTCATTGTTTTGTTCTATATTTTATCTTTCCCTTTTAGCCATATTTATCTGAATGAATTTGTCCTGTTTTCACCGAGCCAGGAACAACTATGAATTATTTCTTGGACGACAAAATCAACCGGGCCGTGATTCTTTTTCCTGGAGTTGCTTGCTTTCTCATTGCTGTTTGTTTGGGCTCTGCCGTTCATTCGTCCAATGATGCAGATAATAAAGCTAAGCTCGATGGAAAAAGCGGGACAGATGTGGAGAAAGAAGGTGGCAGCATTAAGGACAAGGCGAAATTCGGAACAGCAGATTTTCTAGTCGAGCTTGAGAATAAAAGGGCAATTAAGGTTTATATTTATTTTATACAGTTCCCTTTCAAGTTATATAATTTCCTCATTATTATTGCCAACTTTTTCTTCCCCTTGATGAATATTAATCAAGATTTTCTTTAAGGTTTTTGGGAAGAGCACTTTCATTGGGCTGGGGATCACTTTCTTTGCCGGGATATGTTTTTCTCTATTTTCGCCGGCTTTCAATCTTGCTACAAATGATCAGTGGGGTACTTTACGAGACAAAGTCCCACACTTGAGCGTGTACGCTGCATTTTTCTACTTCTCGGTTTCGTGCTTTGTGATTGCCATTATTCTCAACATAAGCTTCTTGTACCGGCCCGTTTTTCATCTGCCCAAGTCCTCAATCAAGGCTTATCTGTTGGACTGGAACGGTCGGAGCTGGGCCTTACTAGCCGGGCTTCTGTGTGGTTTTGGAAATGGGCTCCAGTTCATGGGTGGCCAGGCTGCTGGATATGCTGCAGCCGATGCCGTTCAGGTTAGTTTATATTTTACAAAGCATGAAGTACTTGTTCGTATGTATGCGAACAACAGTTGATAATCAAACATTATCCTTTTTTTTTTTTTCAATCAATTGATAATTTGATATATAGGCATTACCACTTGTGAGCACGTTTTGGGGCATGTTATTATTCGGAGAGTACAGAAGGTCGTCGAGAAGAACGTATATGCTGCTCGTGAGCATGTTGTTGATGTTTATAGCTGCAGTTGGTATCCTCATGGCCTCGTCAGGCCACCGTAAGTGATGTTCGGTTTTGAAGGAAAACTCTGAGATAAGTCAACAGCTAGCTACTGTTGAGCTTGGTTAAGGCAAAAATGAGCCTGATTAGAATTTGCTAATTTTAGGCTCTCTGCAGTGAGTTTGAATCTCTGTATGTGTGATTGTATTATGTAGAAGTAAATCGGCCCCAATGCATGCAAGGGCGATCCTACAAGGGAAATGCTACCATCCCCTTACGGGATGGTTCCGTTGTCTTTTGTAGCCGTAGATATATATATGTAATCTAGTAATGTCTAGATAATCTACGCTTAAAAATACAACGGAACCATCCCATAACGAGATGGTAGCATTCTCCTATAGTTTAACACATATATACCAAGAAAGTTCGTTATCTCCATTCTTCTTTTCCAATATATTGTTTGTGTCTACGGGTATAGAGTATCAACAAGAAACACATTCAATTGAGTGATAAAGATCAAGTTCGTTCCTACCAAAACCAGTAATGGGGAGGTCCTCTTAGAAAAACCGTCGGGATAAGAGCTATTCGTTGTCGACCACTAAAATGGATAAGGGCTCGGCGGGTTGAACATAAAATTACGTTGTATGCATGTGATTGTGAGTTGTTGTAGATGGTTCCCTTTTGAAATTTAGCTCCAAAACAGTAAATAAAAAATCGGAGGTCGACATGGCCTAACCTACGGTGTAAAAAAAATGACAAAAATACTAACATCCTTGGGTAGGGAGAAAGTCGGTTGATAGGAAGGTCGTATATATCACACATGGAGATTAGCTCTGGGCGAATGGAAAACCTAAGACCAACCTTGATCTGGTCATGGAAAAAGGTATAACACCCAGTGGGAGGTTGGTCATATGTATCTAGAGGTCGGGGGATGAAGCGCCAGTTGGTCGGAAATTCGCTAAGAATTAGAAAATTCTCCAGCCTATCTTCACTGACGTGGAGGAAGGTGCTAGATTTACGGGCGACTGAGACCATATATTGGGCAATACTAGAACAGGCATCGGGAAGACGTGGTGCAAAAGGAATTGAGCTAGTTTCTGGTGCGGGCGGGGAAAGAGAGTCGACGTCCTCCTTAGGCTCGTCGACCAGGCGAAGAGGTCGATAAGAAAGAGGAGTAGGTCGAGGGAAGATTTCCAGAGAAGAAGATGAAGAAAAAGAAGAAGAAGAAGAAAAAGAAGAAGATCAGGATGTCAAAGAAGAAGGAGAGGTCGTGTGCCCATCGACAGTGACATCAGCTGAGCCGCTAGTCCTTCGAGAATCTAGAAAAAAAGAAAAAGAATGATTTTTTATTTAAGGGGGACGAATTGGCCAAAGCGGGAAGACAAAATTACAAAAAAAAATAATAAATAAATAAAATCAATTAGCGATAACAAACGGAGAGAACTTACTCATCGACATAGTGGAATTGGAGATTGGTCGGCAATGAAAAGCAACTTGGTCGTTGGTGGCGAATGAGTCAATTTATAGGCGAATGGAAGAGAATTCCGAGAGGTCGATCCACCTCGAGCGTCCGATGAAAGGTGAAATGGATGGATAATATTGGAAATTGTGAAGGCGAAGAGGTGGTCGAGCAGGACCGTTCGACCTAGGTCAAAATGAGCGTACGAGATTAAAAAGGCACTTTGAAAATACATGTTGATTAGGACCATCGGAAAAAAATAAAGTTAGGTGACAAGAATAAAACAACAATAAATGGTGCCTTATACGAGAACATGACGGCATTCGAGACGATTACATTGAGAGGACGTTAGACTGATTTGAAAGGATGTTAGATTGACCCGAAAAAGGTGTCACGAATTTGAATGTCAATTTTTTTAGTTTAAGACATTGTATTTAGGTCGAACTGAGTGTCTTGACCAGAAGAAAAGGGAACATTGAGCCGACAAGTCAGCCCCATAGATCGCTAACTCAATGAACATAGTTGAAGATAATTGGTTTTACTCTTAGATCGAGTTATCTCTACTCGACCAGATAGGGTGAGACCAGATGATATGGGATACCACACCAGCATATTCGTTCGTGTACGACCTAAGAACGGTTCAGCCAGATTGAGTGCATCGACAGGTCGATCAGCCAACAAGGATGTCGTAGGTCGTGTAAACATCACGATGACCTCATATGCAAATCACCATGGCAACAAGTCGAGCTAAAGTTATTGACCAACTTGATGGAAACTCGATCTAGAGGTTTATAGGTCGAGATATGTGTGACCTATTTCAAGGGAAGACGAGCTAATGAAGTAGGCTAATTGAGCACAACTCACAATAGATAAAGGTGAATATAACTAAGATAAGGACACGCAAGTAATAATAGGTGGAGTTGCTCAGTTTCGACCTCGGGCAGTACGTACGGGTAGCTCGGGCACTCGGGCAGCTCCGTCGGGCAGTCTTGTTAATATCTCTATATAAAGGGTGAGATATGAGCATCACAACTCTACACACTCTAAGAGTGTGCTAGTATACAAATATTTCCACTCAAATTGAGTTTTTTTTGTTAATTATAGCTAATTTTGAAAAGATTGTTATGATTAGTTGTTGGTGGGATTTTAATTATATATTAAAATTATATTTGAAATAAAATAATTAAAGTTGATTTGATGTAAAAGTATGAGATAGATGATATGAAGTGATAGTTACTTAAAATTATGTGGGTGGATGAATAGTAAATTAAAGTTGATGTGATGTGTAAAAATAATTGCTCGATATTATTTAACTATATTGATAATATATATGATAGTGGTATTGAGTTAAAATTGAATTAGATTTTGAGTATAAATTGAGTAAAGACTGAAATATTTGATATACAAACACACCCTAAGCATTCTATACTTATATACCTTATATAGATCACTTTCTTTATGAAATACTAAATTGAGTGTTGGAGCTTCTACACCGAGACAACCTCGGACGCTGTTTTGTAGGTCACTTCACCGAGTCGAAGATAGATCTAAGATCGCCCAACCGGGACGAAGTTTTTCGTAACACTACCAACTAGATTATTGTAATAAACTGAAATACAAATTCTACCTAGCATCCACAATGCTTTGGGTTCAATCACAAAAATTGTATGCAACATAAGAAATTGATCTAGTCTAACAAAATTTATTCTCCAATACAAACAAAAGTAAACTGTGTCCTACTTATGTGGCAGCCAGAAAAGAGACTCGTCTACCCTTAAGTCTATTTTAGACCCAAACAGAGACCTAATCTCTGTGCATTGGAGTGAACTTTATCAATTTTACATAATTTTATCAATGTTATCAAAGACTTAGGTTTATTTACATGCCACATAGGCAAGACTAGACTCAATGAACTATAGATGCTCTAAAGCAATTTGGTTCAACCCATCACTTCAAAAACATAATTACATAAAGCTGTTAGGTATATGTTAACTAAAATCTTAAATTTCTAAACATAGGATGTGAAAATCTCATCTCAACTCAAGGTTCAAAAGGGAAAAAAAATAATAAAAAAAAAAGAACATCAATATAAAAACAGTAACATATTATTACTGTCTCTCCCTATCTAGATATACATAGGAAAAATCTAAACAGCAGAGAACAGATTCTTGAACCACCATAAACAGCCAAAACATCTCCACTTCCACTCACAAGGGAATCAATTCCCCCTTTTTCAACTTCATTTTTCTTCTCTTTCTTTCCCTCATAAGTTTAAATAAAGAAAACAGAGATATAGGGCCATTTGGAATATAATCCCACTTGGTTCCTACCATAATGTACCAAACTCAATGTTCATCAAAGATCAAGCATTTCAGCTTTTCCTCAAATCCTTGAGCAAATGAAACTAGAAATCAGAACCACAGACATTGAGACGAGCGCGCAGGATCGGCTTTGGGACGGTAGTTTTGCGCCATTGTTAATGTCCGGGCTTGGGAATCCACTTGAGGTGGTTGGCCCGAGTCCAAAACCGGGACTTGCGGTTGAGCCCGGGATTGTGGTGCCGCCCACGTTTGGAGTTCCTCCGGTGGCTGGAGTTCCGGTGACCGGTGTTCCTCCGGCGGTCGGAGTTCCAAAGGTTGGAGTCCCGCCTGAAATCGGTGTTCCGGTGGTCGGAGTTCCACCAGACACCGGAGTTCCGGTGGCCGGAGTCCCCCCGGCGACTGGTGTGCCGGTGGTTGGAGTTCCTCCGTTGCTACACGATTTTTCAACATAAATTGGGGTCACTAAGAAAATATAAAATTTCAGAAAGCACCTAGAAATTAATTAAATTTGCAGGCATACTATTTCAAGTAAATCCCTATTTGAGGAGGGTTTTAGTATAATTTTTTTTTTTTTTTTTTTTATGAAGGGGTAAATGTATGAGATTTTCAAAGTTAGGTGGGTTTTGTTGCAAATGGGTCAAACATGGAGGATATTTTTGTGACAAGCCCTATAAAACTATCCTTATGTTTACCCAATGATGATGATGATAATGATGATAATAATAATAATAATAATAATAATAATAATAAGAAGAATAATAATAATAATAATAATAATAATAATAATAATAATAATAATAAAGTATTTGCAATTTTGAGAGAGAATAACTTATTTTAGTTTCAAAATGTACACATTTTCTAGTGGTCACTATAATTAACCATATATTCATTATACCTTCTGAGAAACCTCCAGATGGAACTACCATAATTTCTCATATTAATGCAAACATGTCAACATTTTCAACTCTATGTCTGATAGGGGGTCAATTTCACATTTATTAATGTTATAATATCTAAAAATAAATATAATAACTATCTTTTCAAAACCAAATCAAATCTCACAAGAACATGTGTGTCTCAATAATTTTTGTCCTTTTCTTAAACCATAAAGGGTCAAAAGTTTATATTCTTTTATTCAAACTTTGGATGAGAATCATCAATGTCACTTATCTCTTTGTTTATAGCTATTGAGCAAAAATTATATGGAGTCATCAATTACTTTATGTACCGACACATGTTCAATAATAATTATAGATGACTCCATAAATCGAACAATCCAATGACTCATAGCAAAACCCAGCAATTGAGAGCAAGGAAGTAAAATTCCCAAAGCCACAACCAACTTAATTAGTTTGCTGGAAATTCTTGTATGAAGCAACGTAATTGTTCGAATTTGACTCATGATAATTGTAAACAAAAACGCATACTATTTTAATTTTAACTTTTTTTTTTTAATATAACATTTACTAACAAAAGTAATCAGATTTATTTACGAAAATAACAAAAAAAAGGGTACAGTTTATTTAGATATAATTAAAATAAAAAAAAATGGACAACAAAATTACCTAGGACCAGATGGAAAATAACAAAAAAAAGGGTACAGTTTATTTAGATATAATTAAAATAAAAGAAATGGACAAGAAAATTACCTAGGACCAGATGGAAACACACATCCAGATGTAGCTGTATATCATTAACCAACAAATATCACAAGAGGAAAATCATGTTAGTACCACAATGAAAATAGGGGTAAGGCTACAGTCTCGTTACGGAACCATTCTGTTAGGACCGTCAGATGCACATGTAGATTAGTGAAGCGTGTGCATCTACCGGTTTAAAATCCCAACGGAATGGTTCCGTAACGGGATGGACCGTAGCATTTTCTTGAAAGTAGATCATTGCAAAAAAAAAGTAGCACAAACATAAAAGAAATAAAAAAAATCAGTTTTGATTACAAGTAGCTAGATGTTCCTTTTCCTTTTACAATACACCACAAGAAGTATATTGTCATTTAATGCTTGTAAAGGGTGGCTTTTGAGATTTCTGAAAGATGAAAAGTGGAGTTCAGTGATAATAAGGCTAAACTCCAGGGTCCATTCTGGCAAATCACAATCTTACTAATCCTCTTAGTTACAAGATTCATTAGTACAAATACCTATGTACAACATGGGTGTTGAGTTAATGAATATATGTGTAAAATTATTTATGTCTAATAACAAACCTAACTCCAAAACAAAAATAATATAAAAACAACATCACGAAACATAGATTTTCGCCATGTCAGCATCCGAGGCGTAAGAATCTGTCACTTAAGCTCAACACGTTTTGAATTAATATACAGAGATAGGGATTTTATTTTTTTCTATAACATTGTACAGCATGAACCAAAAGTATACAATACCTTCAGACAATCAAGATCTCATTTTTATCTCAGAAAAACATGCTAATGTAATGTGTTACATAATCAGAAAATTTAAAAAAAAAAAATACATTCTCAAATATTTATTTAAACCTGAATAATTATAATTATTGTGAGACTTACTAGGTGGGTTAGCAGTAACAGTGGCAGTTCCACTAAAATCACAGGTCCCAAGAGCTTGAAACTTTCTCTGATAATAACTGTTAACTGCATAATTACAGTGATCTTTAACAGTGTTAGGGTTATAACAAGACCCAGTTTGCTGAATTTGGGTACAGTCAGCCCCATTTCCACATGCATAGTCAATGTTCTTCTGAAGAACAGTGTCACTCAAATTTGGATTGCACACACAGTAATTGGCATCTGTAATTTTAAAAAAAAAAAAAAAGATAGAGAAAAATGAGAGAAAAGCATCAAATTTAATGAAGAAAATAATAGCAGGAAAATTATTTGAATATAATGAAATTAAATCAGATTAGGTCATAAAAAAAAGGGGGGGAAAAGCAGCATAATTAAAAATAAAATTGCAAGAGTAAACAGGAGAAAGATCCAAACTTTATGCAAGCCCTTTGAAGAAAGGGAAGAGATGAAAGGACCCTTTTAATTTTTTTAATTTTTTTTATTTTTTTTAAGAAAAAAAAAAAATGGGACTTTACCTGAATAGGCAGCCATGGCCAGTATGAGCAACAAACCCACAACAAAATCAGCCATTGATGAGTTCTTTCAAGATTCTCAAAGGAAATAGAAGAAAGTATGGCACTTTTTTCAGCTCAATTTTAAGAGAGAGAGAGAGAGAGAGAGAGAGAGTATATGAACTTAAGGGAGAAGAAAAGGGCACAGTGAAGTGAAGTGAAGGGAATGGAGATATCTAGACAAAGATATAAAAGTGAGGGTGCATAATAGCATAGTTATATAAACATGCCTACAATCAAATCACTGCATTTAAGACAGCATAATTGTTATAAATATTATTATATAGAGGTTAAAAGTGTTTATGGGGACAGGCATATTTGGCAAAAGCTCAAAGCTTTTTTGTCTGTCATCTTAATTCAATGACTGTAGCATGTAGGTGTACTGTGTGTTTTTAATGTGTGGCATTCCTTGTGCTTTTCACCCCCCAAACGGTCTTTAGAGGGGTTAGGGGATGACAGATTTCTTGGTTTTGTCTAATTTTTTTTTTTTTTTTTGGCTAACATAGGTTGATTTTGAAAAAATGTGTTAGAATTTTGAATTTATATTAAAATAATATTTAAAATAAAATATTTATTAAAAATGATGTGATGTGATAATTAATTAAAATTATGTAAGTTGATAAGTTAAAAATTAATGTGATGTGTAAAATTAGTTGATGAATGTCATTTCATTATATTTGATAATATAAAAAATAATGAATTAGATATTAAAGCTTAATTAAAGAAATGGATTAAATTAAATATATTTTTATATTATTGCATTGGATGATGCGAATCAAACACTTTTGACCACCTTGGTTTTTCATACGTGGGACCAATTCTGATAAACAATTTTTTTTTTCTTTCTTTTATAGTATCAAATCCCATAAACCTTTTTTTTCATACGTGGGACCAAGACTGAATATTCATCACAGTTAATAACAAATTATGAAATCGGCATATGCATAAATAAATTGGCTAACTGGAGATTAATGGTAAACTGGTACTTATATGCACACTCTGGGGGTCCCATCCCTCAGAAATCCAGGTTGGGCATCAGGCCACTCATCTGGACGCGTGACTTAAGCAGGGCATCAGGCCCACACATCCAAGCCTGGACTTAGGCTCGACATCGGGGCCACACATCTAAGTCATAACTAGAGTTCTTGATCAAGATGGGATCACTCATCCGTCTCGATCCATCAATCTACTTACACAAATACCTTAGACGGTATAAGCAATTAAAAGCAATGAGATACATAGTACAGGGATCCACACCTAGAAGCTAGCGAATGCAAATGCTGAAATATCTAGTAGCAAGTGGAGGCTCGACTCTCCTCAGGCTACAAAAATATTGAGAGAAATATTCTAAGTATTGGGCTCAATATGAAAACTCGAATCTTATTATCTGATCTGACTAGGTTCACTCACTCGATTTTAAAAATAACTTTAAAACTTATTTTAGGAATTTACGAGTTGATTTTGAAAATTTATTGTTTTTGAGGCATACTAGAGTTCTCTGGAATATTTATAAGTCTGGACTATATTCTGACTGGACTTAAATCTGACTGGTCTTTGAGCCAACAGACGTTCAACATTTTGACGGTGCTCCCTCCTGCAGTTGCTTTTCCTTTTCTCTCCCCAGCCTTTGCTGTTTTTTGGCCAATTGGTCGACGCACATATATGTCCTCACCATCAGCACAAGGCCCGACTTCTTGCCCAGAGCCAGAAGTTTGATCTCCAATATCAGATATTCTAGTTTTCTTTCCTCTTCGAGATGTTTGAGATGCCCCATCAAATTTGACATTATTTTTTAATACCTCCCAACAATGAAGCCATTTAAAGCCTCATTTATTTTTTTTTTCTCTCGCTATTCCACTCCATTAATGCATTGTGCAATACAATTTCGACATTTTCACTACTCCTTTGATCAACCGAAACATGTTTAATGACGCATGAAATTTGAGGCAGGCTCCATGAAAAGCATAAAAAGGAGATTTTTCTTACTCCATAGTTCTCTGAATGAGGTTTCGTGCTTGACCAGCTTAATTATAGTTTCAGACATTTGTTGAGCGCCAATAACCTGAACACTTGAGATGTTACAGAAAGCTCGGCATAGTGAAACATCCTCTCCATGTGTCCTCGTCATTGTTGTCGCATTACCGCATCTTTTAAGCTCAACTTCTTTTGCTTTTCTGAATCCGTATCAAGGCAAATGTCGACGAGTCCTTCAACCTCTGGGATCGTGCAAGGTCTTGGGACTTCAATGGGGCTACTAGAGAATCCGTTGGCATGAAATTTCCTTGTTGATAAGGCATCCCAAATGCATTTGGAATGCCATATTGGGGCGTCACTGGCCACATATACTGAGATTGATTATTGTTCATTAAATTTGGTGATGGAGGAAAAAAAGGTTGCTTTGAATTATGTGAAATTGGATAAGAAGGCATTGGTGCGGGTACTTGAAAAAGAAAAGTCTGAAATTGGAGTTGTAGTTGCATTCTAGGAAATTAAGTAAATTGCATATTTCGTGTATAACGTGAATTTACGGAAGATGGACTGTCATTCTCCGATGAGTTTGACATATTTGGGTTGGATCTGTATGGATTGTTATCAATTACAACGTCAGAGAAAATATAAGATAGAGGTGTATGATTTTTTTATTTTTTTTTTGA